ATGATTTTTGCACGGTAACAGACCAGTAACGTGTATTAATTATTTCTCTTTCTTTCATATGAACTATTAACTTAACTCTACATCAAATTGTATAGGTTTAAAACAGCGTAACGTCCATTAATTATCGTAGAATTTTAATTTTCTTAATCTTAAGAGACTATGTACTAATTTGTAATACACTCATTAGCTGCGTAACACGTTTCTCGGAGTTATTTATTATTCTCAGGCCATACGAAGCCAAATAAGATTTGTGAGCCTTTTACACATCTATATAATTAAAGTCGCCGTAACAATCATCCATTATCGCCAAATTCTACCTGTACCTGTCTTTAAAATCTCCTGTACTTGATCGTAACACATTGCCTGAACCTAGTTACTTGTTATTCGTAAGCCATACGAGGGACATTGAAAGATTTGTGTGGGTTTTACACATCTATATAATTAAGGGTGGTGTAAAACTTTGATTCATTATAACGGAGGCTTTTGCCATTTCGACTGAGGTAAAAACGTACGTTGACAGCTTATTTAGCCTTAAAAATGACATTTTTAAGGTTATATTTTTAGATTTAGGTACCCTTGCTGTAAATTTTCTTCCACGTAGGTCAACGCCTAACATAAATTAGTTTCCCCTTTCAAGGATCTGATAATAAAGTCAATAAGTTTGATCACATTTTTTTTTTTTTAACTTTCCCAGGTGTTATATAACACAGGGAAAGTATGACCATCGTTCAAAAAAATGACCCTCCCCAAGACTATTATATTTTTTGGACACGGGAACCTCGAAACTTCGAGATATGCAAGAAAATTTGGGTTTATTTTTCCTTTATGTATGCGTGTTAGTGTTTGTGTGTGGGGTATTCGCCCACTTTGAAGCTTAATAACTCACGTGCCCTTTGTCGAAAATTTCTTAAATTTAGTATGCAGGTTTGTACATTAGAGTAAAACGTTTCTCGAAATTTTCATGAAAATCTGACCATAAGTTAGGGAGATACAGCCCCACATACCTCCCGAATTCAATCTGATGACTTATAAAGGTAATGGTAGAAATTATTAGAGACGAAAACAAATAATGCTGGAAAGTCTAGAAACAACGTTGTCAACTTTTTTATTTAGTTTCTTAGTTTCCCTGGTTTAGTTTCTATAAACAAGAGGTGGCAGATTTAAAATAGAAAAGATAAATTACATCTGACACCTCGCGACAAGTAGGCACACCTGCTATTGCTACAGACAGCCTTCCAGTCATAGTTAACGTTGCGATAACAATGAGGAGACTTTAATAACCCCTAGATGACAACACAATGCATACATACTTAACATAAACAAATATGTAACGAGTAACATTAATCTCTTCGTAACACATTTAGGAAAACGTCAAATTAAATTCGAAAAGTTTAATTTAATCAAGCAGATAAGGAAAATTTTATGAGGGCTTTGTTAACGTGTGTACGTATATTTAATTATCTACCTTCTAGAACACACACACACACAAAAAAAAAGGGGGTTAGAAGCGAGGATGACGAGAGATACCATCTCTACGATCTGATGTAAAATCAATTCGGTTACTCGGCACCCTAAATCTTGGGTTAAGTAAATGGCAATCTGACAAGCCAATTAAAAAAGCAGGGTTTTTTCCCTTGTAGAATAAAGAAAAAAAAAAACCCTTCTCCCTAGATGCGTTTTTATAGAGAATTTTCTTTATCTTGTATATCGAAACCGTGTCGTAATTTGGAATGAGTGGATGTAAGTAAATAGACGAAATCCCACGATTACCCTCATCCGGAGTAACAGACTGTTAATTAGAATAAAATATTACTAGACAAACTTTATGAAAATACACTTACTCATCAAATTATCTGTCCTTCGTGTACAGATTATAGATTAGTTTCTGGTTTAAAAACGTATAGAATTCTACTCACGTGAACGTGCTGCAAGGAGAAGATAGATCGCTTCTCGTTGTGACCTTTGAGCAGAATGGATGCTTTGAGCATCGTTCATACTATCAAATTTATATAAAATAATTTTTATTAATAGCGAGTATTCAAATTATAACTTAAACTTTAAATTATTTATGGATTAGAAGCTAATTTTATTAATTAAATTTTTTTTTTTTTTTGCCAGCGCCTTTGTTTTTTTTTTCTCGTGAATTCCCTATTGGGTCGTTCAGGTTTCTACGTGGAATGGGCTTATAAAGGGTCGTTTATGTGAAAGTATGTTTTGTAATGTAGAAAGCAACACGTTACTCTGTAAAGGTACGATGTTCAGGGAGTTAAAAAGAAGAGAGAGAGAAAGAGAAAACTTTGACCTTGACTCACCGCAAAACACCTGTACATAAACCATTGGTACATACTTGAGGGATTTTTATCTGGGAAAATGATGCAGTAATTTCGAGTAATTGGGTGATGATTTGTACGTACGTTTGTAACTTCAGGCCATGGATGATGTAAGAAAGATACACTTTATACTGTTGTCGTGAGAAAGCAGCTCCATAATTAAATTCCAACCACAATACTCTAACATTATCTTTAATAGACGCTGTATTAATCAGGCAAGTTGTGAGATGCCGGGCGCCATGCGACAGCTCCGCACCTCAATTAATGCTGCTGTAGTGTCTCCAGAGCAAGACACCTCCTGGGCTTACAGACCTTTCTTAATGATGGGGAGAGCAATTTTTCTAACCCTGTTCCATCATTGTTCGCACCGCCTTTCCCATCAATAGTTCCGATGTTTGACTCATTTACGAGAAGACTGATGAGCTCGTTCTGTAATTACGCCTTATTCTTGTTTGAATTTATATTCTGAACAGGCAACTCGGCTCTTAGCTGATGTTTGAGGCTATTCTCCGAGTGTGATCTGCATTTCTAACTTGTAATATTACTAAAAAAAATGGACTATAATCCTATTAGTCGAGCCTGTTTGCCCTTTGTACGCAAACTAAATATGACACGGGATTGTTCTAAATCAGTGAATCTCTAGGGGTCTTAAGGGTTTTAACGAGCGCTTTCGTGTATGTTATACTGAATAAGACATTTTCAACAAAAGCTGGGATACTAAACTCCTTACGTATAGCAAATTTTCACCTTTGTAACAGGGTGCAATCAATTCTCAAAATCCAATTGACTTGCCTTCGTATATACGGTACTAAATAAGACATTTTCACTAAAGAGGGGCTACTAAACTGCAGAAATTCGGCTTTTTTCCCGTGATAGAGGGTACAATTTGTAATTAGAAATATACAAAGTTCAGTTTTTTTTTTAAATCTTGGTACTATCTTTTCTCAGAATCGAAGTCAATGCTTTTCTACAGAGTTCAACCCTTTCCCATCTTTGAAGAGGGTTTCATCTTAAGCTCATCTGACACACCTTAACTAACTGTTGTGACAAGGTAATCCAAGATTTAAGATTTGTTCTGACATTCAAAAAAATCCGGTTTTAATTGGAAGATTTTAGGTCTCATTTTCGAAAACGTCTTAATTAGAATGCATTCCAAGGAGCAGCTGGTGTTCAAGAGGAGTTAGTAGGACATGTAGAAAACCATCAACATTTTCGTATTAATATATCATGTCTTCTATTCATTCACACGGTAGTATTAGCGCCTAGATATATTACTTATCGTCCTGTTATAGATAGCTAATGCCACTTTAGACATAAAAAGAGTTACTGGGAAGCGCTGTATAGGGTCTTTCAGTCAAATTAATGACGTTTTGTCACGCTAGTGACGAATCGTTCGGGACACGACACGTATAAAATGCACATATTACATCTCCCTAAGCATATCTTTCCTTATATCGTCTGGGAGGTGACTTTAAAATATCTCATTTTTACTCGATGACACTCGCCATCCCCAGGCATGTATACACGATCCTTTTGTTACGTCCCAGCTTGTTTATCTGTAATATTAAGGCGATCAGAGACTATTCGAGGGGGATAGAAACATAAAATTTAACGTCACGTAACTACTAAACGCCTTAAAATAAGAGTTAACCCGTAACTAATACACCCTTTCCAACGTGTAGATCGCGATCGCTTGGTTAAGGTCTAATCTCTTTCATTACTCCAAAACGGAATAAAATATTGGGAAATATAACTCTTAAATCGATTTTAAATGCGATTTAATACACCAATATTAAAATTTTTACATATTTTATAAGCTACAACTTCTATTGTAGCAATACAGTTAAGGACACTTGAGAGATTCCAGAACGGCAGTCAAGTTGCAGCCATTTTTTGCGGTCGATTGACTTAAAAATGATTAAAATTTAAGGAAAAAAACATAAAATTTACATTAAAAAATACCCGTAAAAGACTGTTTATTTCATTAATTTTAACAAATTAAAAAAAAATAAGCTTACACTTCTCATGTTATGAAGTTATCATCCATAACGCTGATACCTGATAAGGTAAATTCGCTAGATAATTAAAAAGCACTGAAAAAAAATCCAGTTTGAAGATGAAGATAAGCTCTTGAGATACATTTTTTCCCTCCCTCCCTCTAAATATATATATTTATAATCAAGAATTTTGCAATAAATCAATATGTAAGTATGCAAAAATGTCACATAAAATATTTTAATAATCAATCAGTAAGGTATTTTAATATAAAAATTTGCATATAAAATATGCAAATTAGGAAAGTAAGAAGGTCTAGTTACATCTTATTAGAAATTCCTAGGGAGATTTTTTTAAAATTAAGCATATTTACAGATATTGTGGGTTTTAGCTATGTCTGGATAGCTTGAACAGCCTATTTTTTTTTCTTTTTTATAAATTCAAGCTATACAAGCTATCTAACTATCCTGTAATATAATAAATACCATAGAACAGCCTTGTTCTTTAAAAATTCAGGCTATATGAGCTATCCTGTAATATAATACATGCCACAGAAAAGCCTGATTTTAAAAAATCAGGCTTTTTTAGGTTTGAACTGAGTGATGTTTTTAAATTCAAGCTATTCCTATAGCATGTTTAAGATGAATTATCTTTTAATATAATACATACTGTAGAATTGCCTGTTGAAGTTATCTAGACATACCTTTAAACCCATACAAAATTTGTAAATATATTATATCTACATGGCCTGAATAGCCTGATTATTTTAAAAATCAGTCTATACAAATATCCTGTAAATATTAATTAATAAAGGCCATAGTTTTTGTGGCATTTCAAAATCAATTCTAACTTATGTCATGTTCAAGTAATCCCATGGCATGTTCATTTTAAAGACAGTTCAGACATTTCTATGGCATGTTCACTTTAAAGAATGGATATTTACGAAAGTGACATTCAGGAAAACAAAATACCCCTAGAGGTATGCTTAATTCTATAGTTTTTATTCCATAAGATTAAAGAGTTTTATTTTTTATTTTTTTTCTATTCCACAGCTGCACTTAGTTGTTCCACATTAAAAATTCCAGATTAGAAAGAGAAAAAAATACATAAAAAAACAACTGTTCATGTGTTACAGAAAGGTAATGATGACATATTAAAATTATTTAGAAATTTGATGCGGAGTCTTATTTGTTGTTTCTCTTGTTTTTTTTTTTTTTAACACACCTTAATTACCATGGTCTCCACACCTGGTCTACCGAATTGCATTCCTCTTTATCTTCGTTCTGATTCTTTACTTCCGGATTTTCGTGGCACAATGTCAAATTTCCTTGTATTAAAAATGCCCCTAAAGGTCCTTCTACTGTCACGTGTTGAGGTAAAACTAATGCCAAGTCACCATTGGGTAATTTTCGAGGTAGTAGACGTACCTCGGGTATGACGTGCTTTTCGTGTAAACTAATTTCGTTCTCTCTGTCCGACGTTTCACCTTCTGTTTCGTTTATTTCTTTCATCTCGTCCAATCGACAGTTTAGATGGTGTCGAAGTTGTTGTTTCACTTCGTATTTAACGTTGTCCAGTCTACCGACGAAACGTTCTATTTCTCTGGCACATTCTTCGTATCCTGCTTGGAATTTATTCTTGAGATACGGATCGTTCAGTAGAGAAACTATGCAAAGATTTCACGAAATAAGAATGCGATGTACTTTTAAAGTCTTAATATATATTTTTAATGCATTAAATAATCTAGCTTAAGTTCTAAAACAAGCGTGCAATAACATGGAAATCAAGCAGTTATAAAACAAATGTTCAATTTCTTATAGAATCGGGCCCAGTTCGAATACAAGCCTGCAATACCTCGAGGATCAAAGCTCAGTTTTAAAACAAATACAATGCACTAAAATATTGAACATTAGTGCAACTTTAAAGCAATCGAGCAATGCACGAAGAAATAAATTTTAAACCGTAAAGTTAGGATTAAAAAAACATACCGAAATACAGAGGGTATGCAACATACTAGAATAAGGATACACGGGCGTTTAGCTGCCAGCAATTCCGTGCATCCTGTGTAATTACAATATACCATCAATTATAATAAATTCAAAATTCCGTAAGAGTAACTCTGTACAAAAATACAAAGTAACAATAATAAATGATTACTAGGAAAAGTAACGAAGTAGTAATCAACTCCAGTTTAAAAAAAAAACATTCTAGAGGTACAAATGTTACAGGTTTATTAGGCATTGTCTCTTAAAGTTACCATTCATTCAAGCATAACTGATGTTCTTAACTGTTCTAATTTTCCTGTCATACAATTTAACAACTACAACTCACTTTGGTTCCTTCTTAATGCTTGTTTTTTTTGCTTAATTTTCACAAGTTTTTCTAACGTTTTAAAATTTTTGTTAGAAAAAATTTATAATTTATGTATAAATTATAAATTTTCTTGTGTATTTCTGTAGTAGAGATTATATACTATGGACAATGCAAGTCTGGGGAATCCAGCTTTTAAGCTGTAAAAAAAAAAAGAGAGATAGAGAATTTATCTTTTCCTCCTCTAATATTAAAAAGATATAAGGAAAAATCATCAATCACAGCGTATTAAGAACAAAGGAGAACATTTATAACAGATGCTAGTCCATAAAAGTAACTACAACCCTAAAGGAATCTCAAATGGTTACTTTATGATACAACAAACCACATGTTCACACGACCATAATTATCTCCATCCAACACATTAACCGGATAATTATCTTTATTTAGTAGGTCTTCCTAACCTCTTATTATTCATATAAACACAGGTTGAATTACTTTAATATCCATTTAATGCCAGATTTATATATAGAAGGCTGCTTACCAGTTCTCTGTCTGCGATGAAGTTCCTGGAGATGTCGAACTGTCAGTTCTAAAAGATCAGCTTTTTCCATTTTAGAATGTCTTGGGCTCTGAAAAGAAAAAAAGAATAAGTCAGAAATTTCATCTGCATAATCATCATTTTACTTTCTATATCAGAGAAGATCCATTACTACTATTACTACTCTCTCCCCTTAAATTAAAAAACTGTTTTCATTAATAAAACCTTGTTGTAAAACCATTAAAGTATATTATAAACGATTTTTAAAGGATAATTATAGTACACTAAATGTACAAAAATTATAAAATAGATAAGATGGACTCACCTCAGATTTAATAGCATCTAACAGGAGTGATTTAAGCTCAGATAAGCTATGGTTGATTCTTGCTCTTCTTCTTTTCTCCATCAGGGGTTTGGATATCTGACAAAATTCATAGCTTTTTTTTATGTTGTACTGAATAATTATCGGTTCGAAAGCAAAATACAAACGTTTTTCCTATCATAAACATCTGTTTATCCTTTACTAATCATTGTACCAAAGTAACTCCATGTCACGACTTTACCCGATTCATCTACCAACAATAATTACGAGGATGGGCTTCGTGATCCAATAACATACATCTATCCATAATTATATTAAATAAATACAGGTTATTCTTACATCTTTCATAGAAATTCACGTGTTATTATCCATCAGAGAGTTGGTAGGACACCACGTTTCGTTTTTAATATACAATTTCTCGCTAGTTTATGCAAATTTCGATTCACACGTCACACACAAAAAAAACCGTTATGTAACGTAGTACAAGAATTTTAAATTTTATAATAATCTCGACAGTTTAAAATTCCTTTCTTTTTTTTTTATTGTTTCTTTTCTTTCTTTTTGGTACACGAAATCCTCACGAAAGATACAAAACTATCAACTCACCCTCCTATTTTCTTGTTTACTCTTCTCCATATTGCCACCAACCGATGGCATTACGTCAAAAGATGGTGGTAAGAATGGAAAAAAAATATTTCAGAGATTCTTCCAAGCGAAGGTGGGCCCTATCATTTTGTCACGTGGACGAATTACACGTGGCACGAGTCCAACGCGTTGAATAGCACGTGGCCGCGATACTTGACAAACAGCGAAGTAGCAGTGACAAGGGCAGGTCTCGAGCCAATCGTGCATCCTCACTCCCCATTGGGTTGAAACTCTGCTGTCTGCCCACCAACCGGGTGCCTCCTTAAGAAGTAACGTGCTGAGATGTAACAGTTTTTTCTCATTTACGTGATTTTTCACGCTTTATTACGACTCCTAATCCTATAAAAAAAAGGAACAGTTTTTACTTTTTTTTTTCTTTTTTAACGTCGTCTTGCTTAATTTAATTTTGTTCGTTACTCATTTTAGTTACGCCCAGATAACTTATCTTGGTGGTAAATTATCCAAAAGCGTAACTAATATCTTAATCCCATCTAAACAGGGGGACAGGAAATTGACGATTAGTGAATGACCTCAAACTTTTTCTTTTTATCCATTTTAAATATATACACACAAACACAGTATATTTGCGAAGTTTGTAAATTAAACCTGTGTTATTTCAGTCACACAAGATCCGACCCCCCACGTTCTACAGAATCTCCTGCTAAGCTTACAGGAAACCAAAAAGATATCTCTCCTACAGTTCTTGCTCTGCCTGTAATGAAATTTAGGAACGTATAGTAGTAACATTTACAGACCTCTTAAGATCAACTTCCAAGCTTGATTCATGTATATATAAACAAGGGTACCAACCTGGTCTTTGAGGCTTGGGGCTATTGGCAAAAACTTGACTTTTATCGCATTTTCTGTGTGGTAAGACTCGCTAGATTGCTTGCTATTCAGATAGTGATATCAGAATAGCAAGTAATCTACCTTTTATCTATGCCTTAGGGCCTTCTAGTTCTATACAAATCTAAAATAAAGTCATTAAATGTACGTTTTCACATTGTTTTGCATGTTGTCGAAATGCCATGTTAAAGCCCTTTGCACGAGAGACCATCTTGAAATTTTATTTTGATCGATTTTTCTAGTTAATGGTCCATTGTTTTCCTATGAAAAAAAAATCATGTCAGCTTACCGAAACGGTAAAAATTCTTTAAGAAAAACGACTTTTTATTCTAGATCTAGGGCTCGATTAAAAAGAAGTACTAGGCTTTATGTTAATTCGATTTCCTTTTATCCTAGTTTTTTTTTTTGCATGAAAATTATGGATATTTTCTGTTATTTATAGATTAAGTAGCCTATAAAATATATTTTTAATAAGGTTTTAATCAGAGAAATGTTTTAAACTCAATACATGTTAAAAAAAAGTCAAATGAACGTACCGTACACCACATCTCCATATTGGTTTGAATGCGCCACGATGGATTTATTATAAACGTTGCGGTATTATCAAACTTGTAGCGATTGAAAGAGGAAAGTATATTGGATAATCGGTATAAAATTTATTTAAATTAACTTCAAACTCCGAGGATGAAGTTAAATATGGATGCGATGCTTCTAAACTGATACGCGCGACTCGAAGCGAACGGGAGAAAAAAAATGTCGATAACTTCCGTTTCCGGTATTAGATTGTTCTAAAAGTGAGCATATCTCATTGAAGGAGTATGAAAAATTTATGATAACATAACTGTTTTTATTATGATAAGCCGTTTTTAAGTTATGACGAATAAAACAGATGGTTGTAAATATGTAACCTGTGCACGTAGGCATTCAGATATCACCCCAGTAATAGTTAAAAACGTATTTAGAGCACTCGATACTTGTGTATATCACTTAAAAATCTGCATGAAAACAATGCATTCACATTATACAATGGAATACAATGTCGGTTGCAACATTGAACCATGATACAAGTCGACCCCCCTATAACACTGTTGATTATTCCGTTTTATATGAATTCCATGTTGTACGAGTCACTTAGATTTTACAAATACGTGTGCCAGGCTGCGAGAGGCTCACGTTTTTGTAAAATCTAAGTGACTCGTACAACATGGAATTCATATAAAACGGAATAATCAACAGTGTTATAGGGGGTCGACTCAATAAATTCGGGATGTACTGTACAACTTAAATTATCGTTATATATTACGTAAAAATTCCTGTAAATATTCTTTTTAAAAATTACAATATAATTTTGCATTCAAACTAAGCAATGGATATTGCAATTAGTGTTTACCCAAGGTCAATAAAGAAGACAGAATCATTAACATTCAAGTTGGCAATTCTTCAGAATAATTATAATAAATATTGTTATTGTTATAATAAGAATCTTAATAAGATCTTTTCATTTATTAATCTTAAATTTAGTTAAAAAATTTTTTTAAATATTTAAACAATTGACAATGCTCCATTCCTAGAAGTGCAGTTGGAGTGTCTAGTTGTATTTTATTAAGTTTGAAATAGTTTAATTAGGGAAAAAAAAATATATTTTAAATAAATTTAACGAAAAATAAGGACAATAAATTAGTTTTTTTTTTCACAGGGAAATCATTTATTTTAATTAGAAATTTTATTATGTTACTCGCTCGGCCTTAGGCATTTTTCTATTGTGCATAAAACGCCATTAGTGTATATTAAACACATAAATTATGATTTTTAAAATAAGTTTAATTCTGTATAAATGTATTTTTACAGTTTAATTTATTATATTCCATAAAATCATAAAAATGCCGATTAATATAATAAAGTTTTAATTTTATTGCCGGCATTTAAGTAATCGAAGTTTTTTTTTTATGATTTATGTGATTTTTTTTTACGTTCTCGAAATAAAATAATATTTTTGTATTGAACTATTTAATAATTTATGCTCTAGTTTATTTTTTAAAGTAGAATTTTTTTATTTCTAACGGTCGGGATTAAGAATTAGAAGTTAACCAATTAGCGTTAACTTTATTTTTAGTACGTGACCCTTATTGGTTAACTTCTAATTCTAATTCTTAATCCTTGGTTATGATTGGTAGCAAGTATATTAATTTAAAGTAACGTTTCGCTTTCCTTTCTTCGCATTTTTTTGGTATTATTTCCTGTTTAAATAAGATCCATTCCATAAAATCTTTCAAGATTTTATAAAATCTGCATTCGGATTTGTATATATATGCAGAGATTTTGTGTTATGCTCTTACACGCAGAAAAAATATATTCTGCATAAATTCGAGAAGTTACAGCGTAACTAAGATTGTAAAAATGTCGTCCAGGTTACTAAAAACTGTGGCAAAGGGTCCTCTTGTTATTAATGACATGAGGACCCTATTGAATATACCACACGAGAATATACACGCGCTGCAAATAAAAAGACAGGAAGGCACAACTCAAACATTATAGTAAAGTCCATAAAATGTCAACCCCATTATTGCCAATGATTTATTATAAACGCTCCAAAACTTGAATAATAATTAAAAAAACAGACAGAAGAGCACACACAAACATTACTGTATTTCTTAAAGAAAGGGGAAAAACTTGAAACTCTGTGAATTACGTAAGCAACACGAGAGCACAGATGGAAATATGGCCAAAAAAAAAAGAACTTGGCATAGATGACTGCCTAACAGAAAGAGGCCCCTTTAAATAGTGCACTCCTGAGTACAAACGCGCGTAAGTTGGTTGGAGGGGAAAAAAACAGAAGGGCACAGACCCAAACTCTGCAACTCTTGGTAGGGGGCCCCCAGACTAACCAGAATTACGAGATGGGTCTTAGGAGCATGGAAATGGAAGTACGTCAAGAGTACCCACTAGGGGTCGCCAAGTTAAAAAGCGGTATTCGTTTGTCGTCAGTCTGTTAGCCCTGGGCATCAGACTTTATGTCGGGCGACAAAAATTACACTTCTTTGTTACCCGCAGAGAAGTAGGAATTTGCAGTTTGGCTTATTTTTAACCCAAAAGCCCGGAGCGGACAGGTAATCAAGCTTTAACAAAGAGATGGTCTCCTCCATTGAAAACAAATCAACAGTAAAAACTCGGCTCCTTTATCTGTTAACAAAAGCTCATTTTTCTCTCCAGATATAACTTTTGTTTACTTCTTTACCCCTTGAAGTGGGGACGTAAGGGATAGACAGTTCTTTAAAAATATCAGTTCTATCTCTTACGGTTCCTCGAAACTTTCTCACTTTTTACTAGTAAAAAAAAAAAAAAAATTAAAAACACCGAAAATGAACACTACTTTAATCAAATTTTCCACTTTAGAAGAAGGGCCATTAAACAAATTTAAAAGGAATATTCAAAAATTTATAGTGTCGCCATCTGTTAACAGAAATGTTAAATATAAACACTTTCGTACAAAAAAAACCTTTTCGTTATAAAATTTTACCGGGTTTAGGTACGAAACATACTTTTCACGCTTATATTTAAAATACACGTTTTATAAAGAATATAATTTAAGACAAGAGCGCGTATTTTGAAATTTTATCAGTTCTTTTTTTCTCGAGTTCCTTGAAAAGGAAAGAAAAGAAAAAAACAAAAGAAAGAAAGAAAAAAAAAAAAAGGTAAAAGTAGAATAAAGAATGTCAAACTCGTTTATCCAGCCGTCTTTATGTGAGATTCTACGACATATATCACGTGCACATACATCACAGACCACCAAATCCCAGCGTGAGTCAGCGCCAGGTGGTTCTACCACGTGCTGGTGTGGTTCACACTAGTAACGAGATAGCAGGTACTCTATCTACATTCAACTGTTAAGATAAGTCCCTCTATAAGCATTGTTCGTATGTAAACAACAATACATTCTTCTTTCACGTATAAATTTGTTTTTTCGTTCCTTACAATTGTTTATTTCTACATATTTTACAAAAAAAAATGAAAAAATATCTTGGTATATAATTTTGCAAAGAGATAAATACAAGAAGAACATAAGGAAAAAGAATTACACATATGATAAAACCTGTGTAAACCGGAATGGCCTGAAACCCGACTAAACGGGAAGAATTTTACGGAACGAAGCAATTTTCTGTGTTAAAAGAATACCGTACCTGAGAGTCCGGTTTATACAAGTTTTACTGTAAAATAGCTCTGTTCCAAAGAGTTACTTCCATTTAGACAGGTTTAATTTTTTTTACTTATAAAATGATTTTAAGTACATTTTTTTTTAATATTTAAAAAGCTAATGGAAAACATAAATAATGATTCGTATAAATAATGTAGTAAAACCTGTGTAAAACGGAAGCTGAATAAAAAGGAAACTTGTCTAAACGGAACGGAGTGATTTTTCCATGTTAAAAAAGAACCTGTTCAAAACGAACCGGATAAAAAAAACATTCGGTACCGTACGATTCCAGTTTACACAGGTTTTATGTATTATACAGTAGACCCCCTATAACACTGTAGATAATTCCGTGTTATATGAGTTCCATGTTGTACGAGTCACTTTGATTTTACAAATACGTGAGCCGTTCACAGCCCGGCACACGTATTTGTAAAATCTAAGTGACTCGTACAACATGGAACTCATATAACACGGAATTATCTACAGTGTTATAGGGGGTCTACTGTATAATCTTTACTTATTCTTATATTCCTGTGTTTTATAATTTTTACATTAAGTTAATAAAATGATTATATACAGTCCATAAGTAATAAAACCTGTGCGGTACCAAATATATTTTTCCGGTTTGGCAGGTTTCCGTTTTAAACGGGTTCAACACATAATGAATATTTGTAAAACTAAAACATCTTTTAAATAGATAAATCATTTTGACATTATCCTCAAAAGATGGCGCCATTTGTATACATATAAAAGTGGCGAAATCATGACGAATCTATAAATAATGGAGAAATTTTAATAGAACGCGAAGCATGTTCATTATATAAAGGAGAATTTAAGTGAAGATAAGGAAGAAATATTTTTAAAATGGCGATAAGGCATTACGTGTAGAGAATAAAAATTCTTTAATTAATTATTAGATGTAATTCCGATAAAGATGGCGTGATTTATTAAGCCGATAATCGCTTTTAAAAGAAGTCGTGATTCGAATTTTAATGCATTTAATTAATGGAATTTATTTATAGGATATTTTTTAAAATATTTGTAATCGTATAAATTTATTTAATGTAATCCTTTTAAATAAAATTAAAAAATTATTTTAATAATTGTAATTATAATTTAGTATTATTCTCAAAAGATGGCGCGATTAACTTTTTAAAACCTATTTTTGTTCCCGTTTCTCTCTTTTATAAATAGCACCATCTGTTGATGATGTGTTGAATGTATTCGTTATAAATTAATTTTAAAACAATAAGAAGTTTAAATTAATAGTAATAATTATTATTATTTAGTGAATTCTGGTAATGATAAATATGATTATAATTTAAAATAAAATGATTTATTTAACGTTTTTTTTTATATCGTTTTTAAAAAGTAGGTGGCGCTGTTGTCATTTAGCGAAACTCGTGGTCTTTGACTGTAAACAAAAAATGGCGGAAGATGAGGATCCTAAAGGTTATAGATGGGAAACTGAATATGAAAAGACTTGGTAAGTTAACTTTATTAATTATATATGATACTTGAAGATGTTAATCAGCGTTTAATGTATGAATTCATCCAATATCATTTAAAATCTGAATATTCACATTCATTTGACTTAAAGAATTTAGTTATATTGTTTGGGTACAATTACACCTCTGAATGAAACTGTTTGGACCTTATCGGAGATGCACACCGCACCCATAAGTGCAAAAAAGTCTAAGGAACCGTACCTCTGTGTGAACCTTGGCCAATACGGTACACAAAATCAGTCTTCTGCTCGGTCGTGTCGCTCCATTATGACTGTTGTGTATAACTAGCTTATTTTTGAGTAGCACGCTCAACTGTCTGTAGAATGCTTGTTGTTATATTGTTGAGAGAGAGAATTGCCCCTATGTGGGCACTGAGGTGCAAGTGAAAGCAAGCACCGAAGGGTAAAAATTGACCTTTAAAGAGATGATTATCTCGTGAAGGGTCCCGTGTATGAGAAAAAGTCATACATGGTTCTGTTGACATTTTTGCCTGTATGGGTCTATAACTCTGGGAGTGGCAAATTCCTCATTCAGAGTTCACATGTACTGAGCAGTTACTTTCGCTTGGCTACAAATTTAGCTCTGAATGAAGTAGTGGAGATCTTGTCAAGAGCTATGGATCGTGCATATAAGAGTAAAAGAGTCAAAGGAACAGACATTCTACGTGTGATCCTTCGCAAGCCACCCAAAATCATACTATTAGGGACTTTTAAAAGTGAAAAAATCCAGAACTATTTCTGGAAACAATGCAAAAAATCGATTGTTTTCCAGTTTACTAGAGATGGTTCTTTTGACTTTTTTAATCCTATGGGCATGGTCTAAATCTCTGATAAGGTCACACCCACCTCATTCATAGCTTTATTTGTACTGGTCATTATATATACAGTCATGCTTTATGTTGAGGACTGTCCATCCTGATAATTAGAAGTTCTTCATTGGCTGTGCAAATGTTGATTTTTCTCTGTGTTCTTTTGGATATTTCCATTTATTTTGATAATTAGAAGTGAGTGAAGCAGTTTCTGACAGCTGTTGTGAGGAAGGATTGAAAAGTTTTCTTATATATATAATGTATGTACAGTACTGGACAACTATAATATGAATAAAGCACACCTTTAAAAATCCAGCAAATAAATATTAGTAAAATATTTATTTAATTATTAAAGCAGTGTTTTATTCATATGAAAAGTTTTCTTTTGTTTTGTTTTTTTAAGGAGCTGTCCATTAATTATTTGTACAGTTTAAGGGAGAGAGCCAGTTGCAAATTGTTCACAATAAGGAGAGGGGGGTTCAGGTATTGTCTATATAGACTTCTTTTAGTTTTACTAATCACACATGAATTTCATTTTATAGGCCTTGTTACTATTCATGTATTGGCTAAAAGAGTTCTGCTTATATTTCTAAATCATTTCTTCAATGTCATGGAGGTCCATGAATTATTGTACATGTAATTAAAGGGGAGGATATTTGCCAAAGGAACATCATTGTACACAACAAGGAGGAAAGAGGTCAAAAGTGGCCCAAAAATTGTACATGTGGATGGTTCCCAATTGTCACAATTTTGGGGTATTGAAAAAAAGGCTACTAGTTTACAATGTTTCCAATGATTTGCAACATCCCCAAACTCTTAGTACTATTTCTTATAAGTTCTAGAGGATATCCAAAAAGGTACTTTCTGATTACATGAGTTTATTTAGTAAATCCTATAAAAGTTAGAGAAACTGGCCTTAATCCATCTGATTCTACATTTCAAAAAGTTTTACTCATTCAGTCAGCTTTAATATGTGCACCTTTAGTCTCATATAATGCATCAATTCCAAGGATGTCTGCATTAATAATGGCTATAGCATTGGTGAGTTTTTCAGTTTATCAATATCAGAAGCTGATAAGTGATGTCTTTGACATATCTCCACAGAAAGAAGTCTAAACATGTCAAATCTGGGAATCTGGGTGGTCACAGAATGGGACCATCCTGGCCAATCCATTGCTGAGAAACACCATTCAGAAACCTACGTATACTTTAAGCCCAATGAGGAGGAACTCCATCTTGTTGAAAGATTAAATTAAGCTGATCTTCTAGCTGTGGTACCAGGTACATTTCCAACATGTCCTGGTTATAATTGGCATTGACTGTAGTCTCAATGGAAAAAATTATTTTATAACTTCTTGGTTGTGCATAAGATAATACCAAACATTCACATTCCACTTCTGTTGTTACACACTGTTTTGGACTGTCCTGAATACAGATATTGTGCTTATTAACCTTGCCAGAAACACGAAATGTGGATTCATATGAAAAAGCAATCTGCTCTGAAAAATTCTCATTTCTGAATGATTTGGTGTATCAATTTCAAATGCCACATGCTTTGGTTTGTTTATGGCTCCGTGTATGGCTTTATTCCATGGCTCAAAGTAGCCATGTAATAAAGGCATTTGTGGACAATGTGCAATGTCAACTTCAGTAGCTGGAACTGCCAAGAGGCTGTCCAAATTGATTTTCTTGGTGAACACACAAATGCTCTTTGAATTTGTTTTACATTGGCCTCACTTGGTGACCACAGTGACCAAGTTCTATACAGCTTCTGGAAACATTGCTATAAGCCAACTTTTGTAACCATCTGTAATGTCTCTTGTCATGCTGCCTTTACCTTATTTGATGACTCAAAACAACATCACTGCAGTTATAATTTCATTAGAGGTAAAAGGTAAAATGTGCAAGGGATCAAGTGAATAGGTGGGATTTGGAAGCACGTTAGTATCATTTCTGGCAAGAAACTCTATGACTATTATGGATTGGTGTGTAGGCACATTGTTATGGAGAATATACCATCGTCCACTTTGCCACATATCTCAACATTTTACGTCATTTGCATGAGTCCATATGGCATAATTTGCCTGAGATGTAGCAAAGTGAAAAATGGACAATACAGAAATCAAATATTATGATAATTTCCTACATGAAACTTGTGGGTTATCTGTGTTTTAAAAATAAACATACCAACACCAAAAATCCAAATTATAAGCACTTTAAGACAGTCAAAAATGTTTGTTTATCTATTAAACAATCATTACCAGGTTCTATCTAACCTTCAAAATCACCTACCAGGAGTGTATTCTATTCCCATCAAAAGTAACAGATTCCGTAAAAAGTGAGAATACACGGCTGCCACTACTTGCTCCCTTGACATCTGGTATTTGGAACTTGCTTTCTCCTCAAGAAAGGAACTACTCACACACCATCCTAGTGGCATTTGCCATGGAGAAAGACATTCGGATCGACCTTAACAAAGCTGTCATCTAACATCCGACATGGAAGTTTGCAGATCTCAAACATGTTGAAAACTTGAAAATATATGAGGCAGCCAGAGGATCTAAGGACATAGAAACTATATCCCTACCCTAAAATCTTTTTACAAAGTGTGGTTATATGCAGGAATTACAGTAATCAGAGTTTAGTTGAGCTGAGAAATTTAAATTACACACTCCTCATTCTTGACATTGCATTCATGGGTTGGTAATGCATGCATTTATAATCTTAAAAATAATCATCATATCACGTTTTTCAATGTAATTTTCAGGGAGGCAATTCGTGAAAATGAAGAAGGTCTCCTTCAGCCCAGCGTGGAAGAATACCTGCACCACACAAAACGTCGGAGGCTCCTCGAGAAGAAAAACGTCCGACTGGGGATGGTAAGAAATTTATTACACGTACCAAGATTTTCATGAAAATTATAATATATTTACAAATATTTTGGTTTGTTCTAGATGAGACATCTGTATATTGTGATCGACATGTCGGAAAATATGTCCGAACAGGATCTAAAACCTACGAGGCAGCTGTGTACATTAAAAGTATTATATGATTAGTTACAAAATTTTAAATTTAAATATATACTGGGTGCATAGTAATGTTCTTATACACCAATTTAACTGACGAATGCAGAGTCATTTTACTATAACTATAATGTTTGTAACTGTATCTAAGTTCTACGAGAAGAGACCATTTGTGGCATCCCTACCGTAAAATTTGGAAGTTAGTGCTCCTATCTTCAAAACGATGGACATATGAAAAAATCATTGACAAAGTTGTAACACATGACCAATTTACTACAAAAAGACACCATGCATGCATAAATAGTACGAACAGAAAGCATGAAATGCTAATGTGCATGTATATTTCTCACATGTTCATTTATGATGTGTATTTTTCGTTTTTGTATGTCTTCACGCTGCATTAGTTACTTTGTGTCATATGTTGTGCATCACTCGTATATCGGTGTATAAGGATTTTATCGTACACCCTGTATGTGTATTTGATTAAAATTTAATATATGATGATTTTACAGATTTTGGAAGGATTTGTAGAAGAATATTTCGATCAGAATCCAATTAGCCAGTTAGGCTTTATCATTACTAAAAATAAGAGAGCAGACAAAATATCCGAATTATCGGGTAAGAGTCAATCGTTACTATATTTAATCATTTAGAAATTTTTATTTATATAAAATTTAAATACTTTTATCTGTAGGAAACCCCAAGCAGCATATTAATGTGTTAAAAAATGCTTCAGAAATGGTGTGCGCGGGAGAGCCATCAATTCAGAATGCTTTAGAGTTATCATCCAAAACATTAAGGTTCGTAACTTCATCGATTATTCAGTCAAAATGTTTTAATTGTTAAGTTTATCAAATATTTAAAAGTGCCGAATGTACAAAACTAACATTATGTGGACTTGCCTAATACAGAAACATGCCGGGACACACTAGCCGAGAGGTTTTGATAATAATGGGAAGTCTGACAACTTGTGATCCGGGCAATATTTATACTACAATAGAGGTAAGATACGTAATACTTTTTTTAAAATTAAAAATTATGTAACCAAATAAACATATTTATCATCACAGTGGGTGTGGATCCTTGTGATAAGGACCCAAAAGCTGCCATCTTGTATCTCGTTCGAGCAATTTGGAGTAGTAGAGGGTGGGAAGTTGGTTTTACATGTGTGCTGGTGCATACACCTCCATTTTTAAGCGTGATGACTAGGTCTTGAAAGTATGCCATGCAATGTAATGTTGGAACCTGTATTTCCATGCTCTTTTACGTTTTAAGATAGAGAAAATTACTGCAATGACTCAAAGGTGTTTTAAATGTTAAAATGTAGTTTAAATTAAAGGCTCTTCACCAGCTGAAAACATCATTGGTGCATAATGCACCATGTGCCAATTGTTCTCTTGGATTGCAAGTGTAATTGCCATTTTAATTAAGTAAAAATGGATAGAAAATTGAGTGAAAGGCATTACGTTAACTCGCCACTCTGGAGATTTGGATTCGAGTTCAGTTTTGCCTGAAAAATTTTCGGTGTGCCTTGGTTCAGATGTGTTAGTGCCATTCCATACAACCCAATTACCCATTGTGGGGCCCGGCCACAAACTCATAATGGGTACATAAATAGTCATTTAAATGCCAAAACAATTAAAATATACATTTTCATTTAGAGATTTTTTTGTGTGCTTTTGTGAAGAGAGAAAATTGATGAGTTACACCATGCTCATACCTTAACCAACAGATCAATCAAGTAACATTATTACTGGATTCATGAAGATGTAGACTCCTAGTTATCTAGGATTAGATTTAATACTCTCAAAATTAAAACAGTATGGCCAAAAATGGAGTAATTGCTTATTGTTTTGCATGTAATAATGACCGGAAATAATCATGCCAACCTCTGAATGAGGAGCTTGTTTTATTATGCAGGGACGATCACAGAACAGCATGGGAATTCTGAAGCATTCATGCTAAGCCATTGGGCTTGACATGAAGGCTCCGGGTGTATGAAAACATTAAGTGTCCCATGTGAAATAAACTCAGTTTATTGTTTGGGGATTGACCAATTACTTATGGCCATTATTGCATCCGAAACAGTAAGAACAGTGGAATAGAAAAATTTAGAAAAATATATTTCTTTGGACTATACATATAACTGAGTCCATCTCATCTGAGAATATATTTTTCTATTTGTGAATTCGTCCTGGCAATTTATTTTAAAGTAAGAACAGTGATTTACCCCCATTTGGCAAGTGACTTTTTAGCTGCACTTCAAACAAAGATAGTTGTTAAAAGTACAACAATTACATAAGATTTCGTATAGAAGCATTTGCCGTTAGCGGTTTTCTTTATGCGGGCTTACAAATTTATGACAAGTAATGCTTTCGATGGATATAAGAAGTCTTCAGATGAAAAAGATAAGTTAATATAATTTAATTACACTTTAATTAAGAGCCTGCTGTAGATCTAAAATTAAATTTTAAACGACGTAATTACTAAAATTTTTTGTATTTTAATAAGGGATAGTAACTAAAATTTTTTGTATTTTAATAAGGGATTTTACTTTCAGACCATGAAAATGCATAACATTCGCTGTTCTGTTATCGGTTTGGCCGCTGAGCTAAGAGTGTGTCGTGCACTTACCAATACGACAGCAGGTAAAAATGAGCAGAATACTAATTAATAATTGTCATCAAATAAATTTCTAAACTGCTTATCTTTAAAATAGGCAGTTATCACGTTATTTTGGATGAAAGTCACTTTAAAGAACTGGTCAATTTACACACTGTTCCACCGCCTGCCGCAGTAAGTCTCTATTAGCAATGCCTTTTTTAAATATCTGAAATTATCATTTTACATAATCTTTGTACGTTTCAGGGCAGTATGGAATCGTGCTTAATCAGAATGGGTAATAATTTGTTAATTTACTATTATTAATTTTAACTATAAATTTAATTAACCGGAATATTTTACTGTAAGGTTTTCCTCATCATCAGACCGAAGCAGAAGGAACGCCGTCCATTTGTTTCTGGTGAGAATTGATGATACTAAACAAATTTAAGTATCCTGAACACACAATCTCATCCTATATTTATTTTAGTCATCTAAACAGCAAAGATCCTAGCGAAGGATTCGGAAGTGCCGGTTATTACTGTCCCCAATGTCATGCCAAGTACTGCGAGTTACCGGTAGAATGTAAGGCTTGCGGTAAGTTAATTTTACCTTTATGAGGATCCTTACTAGATGACAAATGAACTTGTAACGTCATTAACAGGATTAACCCTGGTTTCTGCTCCTCATCTGGCACGTTCTTATCATCATCTGTTCCCGCTGAATTGTTTTCAAGAGGTTGCGTTAAGTGCGTTGACAGAAAAGGATTCGAGGTTAGTAGAGTTAAATGTTCTGTAACGATACAATCCAGACAACCAAGTTTATATTGGCATAGTTTTTGGGGTAAGAATCTGGACATGCAACAACACAGTCCAGTTAATCCATACTTTTGCTGTTGTAAAAAAGTATGGATGAATTAATAGTAAATCTCAAATAATTGCTGCATTTGTTGAAAAATTCTGCATGGGTGAACTCATTTTATACTTATCGTAAATGATGATGACTCCATTAGTTTAGGACTCCAGAAAGTCGAAGTTGCTGTCGGCCATTATTCCAGACAATAAAAGAAATATTGTTTACTTTTAGAAAATAAGGCAGGAAAAATGTCAAAGGATTTATGAGGAATTTTGGACATTTTCCCCCCATTCAAATTGAAAATTTGGATCCTTTAATTCTAAAACCCAATGATGACTTTTGCAGAAGGAATCTATTTAGAAACTAGCTGTTACCCGCAGCTTTTGCAATTTGATAGTGAAGTACTGAGGGAGGGTTATTTCTAAGATTCTCAATCATTAGTTGTTACTGATTTGGTAAAATTACTGATTTTTGTTTGTTTCAAAGTATGGATTGCTAATGCACCTAAATTCAAGTTTCAAATATTATAGGATTCCGAGATATGATAAATCTGAGTTCAATCTTTTTTTTTTTTGAAACATTAAATATTTACTGAAAAATAGAGGTACTGGGGTAACTGAAACTCTTTGTAAACCACCTTTGTGGTATTGCCTTTCGGGGCTAAGACTTTTTAAGCCTTAATTCTCTCCCTCTTCTCCCTGCGGGGGAATTTCGAAAAATCCCTTCTTAGTGTGCACTCTTATTGTGTACCAAAGTTCAGCTCTAGGTTCAGTGGTTTGATCTGGCTGATGATGAATCAGTCAGGACATGTAATTTATATACATATATAAATTTTGGTCATCGCAACAAAAGTATAGAATTTATTTTTTTTTTTGGGCACTGTTAACAGATGTCTTCAAATTGAGGACAAATTTGTGAAAATGCACAACAAAATTACTCTAAATTTTGTAGAATTTTTAAGATTTAAATATGGCAATTGATATTATTTAATAGGAGCAAAACAGTATCCACACTTTATTAAATTAGTTTTTCTATATATAAAAATTGTTGTCATTTAAAGTTAGAGAAATGTTGTGTTAAACACTACAAAGATTTTTGGAGTTTTACTGAGTTATTGGTTTTTTAATAATATTGTCAAGTTATGATTTGATCCAAAACATAACTTTCCTGAATGAGTTGAATGTCTAAGAAAAAATTCCAGCAAAGAAATATTTTAAAATTGCATGTAGTGCCATCCGTGAAAATTAATAAGAATATTGTATTTTGTTAATTAGAAAAAAAGCTTAATTTTGAAGGTATCTTTATAGTGTCAGCTTTATAGAAAATTGTAAAAATATTAAGTCTGACCCCATCCTCCCAACCTTTAATTTACTACTAAAAGTGAATGGATCAACTCCCATAACAAACAGCATAGGAATTAAGCTTCAAAGTGGATGAATGTCATCTACACAAAAAACATTTGGGTGTTTTTTCCTTTGTTTTTTACACGATGCTTAGAGTAAAAATGCACATTTTTGAAAAGTCAGGGAAAATGACATTGTGTTGGGCACTAATCATTTAGTAAGCTCTATTCATTACATATAATTCTTCTTTTCTAGTTTAAGCAATTAGATTGGATTTAATAATCTTTATGCAAGTTAACATTTCACTAATGCGCGAGCAAGATTTACACGAGTTACCTTTGGGATGGCATATATTCCAATCAGCATTTATCCTTTGTAGGCAGTGCTACAAATTGTTAAAGTCATTAGTCTGGTATCTGCAGAGATAGCAAGCATAATGTATGTGACGTGTAAGTCTAGTTATGGTGAAAAAACAAACTGTTTTGCAGGTCGATTCTTTTTCCAAAAGCTTGCATCTTGTTTACAGAAGATGAAAATCTTTTCCATCATCGACTGTGAACAATTATATGATTGCAGAATATTTGCAAAATATCTGAATTTTGACACTCAATCCTTTTGCTTTGTACAGTACATTATTGAATTTTGGATTAGACAGTTGTTTTTGTCACTGAAATATTAGCAATCTGCTCTGTGGTGCTTTTGTGAAAGGAAATTCTACTTAGCTTATTAGAACGACACCAAATTATTTCATGAAATTTTATCAGTAGTGGAATGAAGATAGAGTTTGGAATTGACTCTCTTTCACTTCTTACCGTGGAAAATTTTCAGTTTTCTTCCACTTTTCCACTGGGACTTTCTACAAGTTGCACCACCTGCCATTCCACAGATTCAGATACGTTGGACCACATCCCTTGCGACCAGGCTGGGAAGGGGAAAAAATTAAAGGATGGTATGTACTCTATGTTCATACAACCATTCTGAAAAATGGACTTTCTAAATGAACAATCAGTACAATAAAACTGAAATTTAAGCCTTCATCTTGTGCAGTGAAGTGTGCTGCAGTGTCAAAGCTAAGATTTATCTTGTCATTCAGTTGTAATCAAGCAAAATTGTTGCTGTTAATGGGATTTATTTCCACAAACAAGTTAATGTCTAACATAGCATTCTATGCAATTGTACTGATTTACTATGGAGTTTGATTTTGCTTTTTGTGATCCAAGTAGTGTTTAAAATAAGCATTCATTTTTTTTTTCGATTACTAATTCAGGAAATTTTTTCCCCTAGGAACTGCTTCGCTTGCTTAGCGGATTTTAAAGAACAATTGGTAAGAAAATCATTTATTTGATACTTTAAGAATTCTAAATGAATTTTATTCATAGCACCAAGACATTACTTTTTTACAGGTCTACAGATGCGAGAATTGTCGCCAATTATTCTGTCTGGAGTGTGATCTGTTCGTTCATGACACCCTCCACACTTGTCCCGGATGTGCAAACAATAAACTGACAAATATGCAAACATAAATTATTAAAAATTTCTACAGAAAAAATGTTTCCTTGTTGTTTTTAATTATAAAACCATGAATGTAACCTGGGTGTACGGGATAAATGAAACTATTTTCTTAAATGCTCATTTGGCATTGCAATGGGACGTAAACCAATATAAAAAACTTCAATAGAATTGTATACTATGTAGAATGTTTCTTTGAGCTTTAGCTTCAAAGTCCTGGAGCAACTCATCAATGTCATTATCTAAATCTTCTGAGTCGGACATCTGAAAGGATAATGAGATCAATTTTAAAACATTTTTTTTTATACTATTGATGACAAACAAATCACTTACCATTTGCGTCATTTGACATATAAGAAATGCTCCTATAGTTGCTTCTTCATGATTATCTTGAATATCTATATTAATTATGTGAACGGGCGTGTTTTCTATTGGTGTTCTAGAAGCGAGTTCTGGAATAAAACAACAAAAAAACTTTTTTTTTTACTTTATTTAAAAATAAAAGTAATTTTTAAAAGTAAAGATACCAAATGGCCAATGTAATATTTACCTTCTACCACTTGGTCATACACTCTCTCTTCTACAGTAAAGATCACATCAAATTTCTCATAGCAAGTCTGGAAGCGCTCGGGATGGGATTTGATGCGTCGATTTCTGTCGAGCATGTGGAGAATGCCATTCTGGGTATATCTTTTCGATAAATTAAGGACATCTAAGTAAATTTTATTATTATTACCCAGGATCGTTGGCTAAACATAAGCTTCATACAAGAAGTAAGACATATGAGCTATTTCTAAATTTCTGCTGTGTAACACAATAACACGTTTCTACATTTATTATAATTACAATACAGAAATGATAAAGATTGACAGTAGATGTCAATAATAACTAGCACTTAAGAGAAACAAATGTGGTACTTGAGAAGACAGAAAGAAATGACACCACAATCCACTCTATAATCAGCAGTAGAGGGAATCATCGAGAAGTTGGAAAATCCAGAGGTGCTGATATGGCCGGTCAACTGACACTGGTGCATAGGCACATAATATGTAGCTCACTGGAACACAAGTTTATCCAATGAGCTGGACTGAAACGAATGCATGAAAATGTAGAAGTTATCCAAATTGGTGTTTGTTCACCTGAATATTAAGAACATTGTATATACTTATAGTTATGAAGACAGAATGTCTTTGAAAAGAATTCTCTTAAAAATCTCAACAATTACTGTGTAACTAAAGAAAACGTCATGTATTAGTAAATTATTATTTTTAGTGTATTACTATATAGGTTAAACCTCTAATCCAGCATTCTACTCTAGCAACTCCCATAGTCTGGCATGTTTTTGATGTGCTGCCACCAGTTTGTGTAGATCTGTTATGTCTATTTGATTTAAAGACAAAGCAGAAGCACGTTTTATTGCAACAGTGGTTGAAAACTCATTCAAACATTCATTCTAATGTAGAAAGTCCACTTTGCTACACCAACTCTGTTTCTGATGTACTGTACAGTACAGTGCATGTAGCTAATAAGCTGCATGTACTGTTACTTGAAGACTACTGACTTCTGATGTATTCTGGAGCTACAACAAATATGTTTGATTTTCTGCTTTATATTACAAGAAACAATAACCTTGTTTGGAAGAATTAATTATTGTATTATTTCCTGAAGTTGGTTCTACTTTTAATAACACCGCTGTATTCATATGGAATAAGTATATGGTTACATAGGTGGTTTCACTAGGTGTCTTAAAGGTCAATTTCGGTAATCTGGCAATGGCCAGATTCCATAGTTGCCAGATTAAGAAGGTTCAACCCATATAAGTAAATTTTGATAAATAAAACCTTAACCGTAGAAATTGATGCAGAATAATCAACCTATATTACGAAAGGGTTTCAATAAGTATTGCCTTTTATTTTTTTTAAGCAAAAGTTTTAATGCATATGGAAAATACAGAATATATGAAATTAAATATGTATATTAGGCTACTTTTTGACATAGTAACCATTCAGGTTCAAGCTTTTATCCAAGCAGTGTACCTGCATTGTAAAATGCCGGTTCCTGGCCATACAACCATCTGCAAACAGCTGATTTAACCTCCTCATCGGAATGGAATCTCTCCAGGAAATTTTTCTGATGGCGTCTTCAAGTTAATGCAACAGTTGCTTTGAATCATTTGATCAACAGCAGAGTGTTTGAGGCGAAACTGCACTTACCTGATGACCTGACCTGTGCTCATCAATCACACTGACAACCATTTTTAAACACTTCGCACTATTGATGGACATTTAGATAGTCCAAACAATCGTCACTGTACACTTTCTGAATTTCCGCATAAAGGTGTTCACATTTCTTGCCCTGTCCATAGAAAACAAATAACACTTCGCTGCTCTTGGAGTGTGGACGATGATAGAATGCATGCTATTTTCTTTCCATTTGTCAGAAATGTTTGACAGCCGACACAAGTGTTCCTATTGTGCAATAGTGTTGCCAGAAATTCAAACTTCATTTACTATATTCACGTTTTTGCATACACATTAAAATGTTTGTTTAAAAAAATAAAAGGTGTTACTTATTGAAACACCCTCGTACTTCCAGATATCAATCTGATACAAGACTAAATTTTTCAATGTAAAATAGTAACATTGTTCGCTGACTGTTTTCATGCTGTATTGTATACAATACATAATGTAAATCAATTCCAAATCAAATTTAGATAAATCTTGCTTTATTCTGAGAAAAATTTACATACAATGCTTGATTACACATACCAGATCGAAAGAAAACATGATTAAATTCTTGAATTAAGCATAAGTGTGTCAAATTACGATCCAAAAGGACTAATACAATAGCATTGTTAATTATGAAATTCTGTTGATTGACATGCAACTCCAAGTAGTCACGAACCAATTTTTGTAGAAGTTAAAAAAAAAATTAGATTTGGATGTTTTATCTGTTTGGTCATTTAACATCTTTACCAATTACACTCTCTAAAAACTGGTCTCTCATTAATGTAATTTTTAAAATTCTTTGAGAACTAACATAGTTTTTAAAATTCCAAGAAAGACTCCTTTTACAAAGGGTTTTAAGTCTTGCCAAAGGTTATAACATGTATAGTCTTTTTGACATAGCCATATCAAATGACTTTTGTTAAAATGTAAACAATTGCATTAAATCCACTTAACAACACAGCATTTAAAACTTCATTAATGCTAACAAAATGTTAAACTGATCATTGTTTTAAAGATCAGATTTTGGCATGTTAAGTTGAAATTGAGATGGCATTTTATTATGAATTCAAAGTATCAAGCAGCTGTATATCAAATATGCTGAAAATACAGACCCACAAAAAAAACTATTTAGTAAATTACACAACACACCAGGATAAAGTAAATACCACACATAGAACCAATAACAGGTGAGAAAAAAAGTACAGACACACAGACAATTTTCTAACTTCTTCCATCAGGTTTTCCAACGGTTATTAGGTGGAACGTCAATAAGCTGGAATAACCGTTGGAAAACCTGATGATGAACTCAGAAGGAGTTAGAAAACATTTGTTATATTTTCGGGAACAACGTAGGACAGGTTAATGTTTGGATACTGCAATTTTTACTTCTATACAGAGAACACTTTTTGGAATTAGATGTCTACAATTCAAAGTTTTTAATTGTTTTAATTTTGGTTTGGCTGTGATTACATTGTTTGAATAGTCATACAAAACATTGGGGTCAAAGAGCTACAATGAAATTATTAAATGACCAATCACTTCTTATATAAAAGTGGAAAGCTTTTAGGAAATGACTCATTAAACTGAGCCAGGGAATGTTGACAAATAAACATTGACTCTTTTAACAAGTTGTTTCAAAACAGTGCACCAACCATATTAAAAGACCAGAAAAACTGCAAATAGATTTTTCTGCTTTATAATCACCTTGTGTATTATCACTACACATTACATCACACATACTTTGAAATTAATGATCATATAACAACAGCTTGGTACAAAAGACTAGTCTTGATTACTGTTTTGCATTTGATGGCCAGGTGGCAAGATGTTAGCCTATTGCCGCAAAGAATCCAGGTGAAAATCTGACCAAACCTTCAATTTGGGAAAATAGGTTGGTCTGCAGACCATCTGGCAGAAGCTCACAGATCATACTTTGGATGTAGACCTGTGGCCCTAAGTTATAACATATAATAGCCAGTCATACAGGCTGGATGTAGACTTGTGGCCCTAAGCTATAACATATAACAGCCCTTCCCAGGTATGTGTAATGAAGCATTGTAAGTAAATGTTTCTCAAAATCAAACAAAATTTATCTAAATTTGATTTGGAATTGATTTACATATTGCAATGATTACATTATGTACTGTATACAATACAGCTTATTATGGGTTGTGCTTGTAAAGGCTACATAGCTAAATACAATTTTCAAATCCACTAATACCATGTGTTGATAAAAACAAATTAATAAATCATCCACTGTTTGATATTTATCTATGCAAGTCTTATAGTTTTGTTAATACTAGTGAATTCACACTATATCTATAGAAAAATTACTGTTTGGGATAACAACCTCTCGTTGGGAGTTACACCAATCCGATGCAAAAAATTTGTGTAGATAGAGACATGTCACCATATTTGTCTGAATTTAATTGGAGTTTAATAATTCAAAATCATTAAAGAAAAATAAAAAGAACTTACTCAAAGCGTTTATGAAAATTGCACTGAAGTAAATGGAACAGAATTGTCATTAAATATTGTAAGATTCTCTGGCTTGAGAAATGACTAATATAGACAAAATCTTCCATTATTTAAAAAGGATACAAGGCTTTATCTTTCAATAATAAATCTTGATACATCTGTTCATACGAAATAGTAAAATCATAAATGTTCGGTCGATCTGGTGCTGCCCCGGGCAACTTTACTTGGGTTCCCGAGCCGAACGACCTGACTTTGAATCCTTTTTTGCTGAAAGAAAATTAATTTTGTAAATGATTTATCAAGATTCAACAAGAAAATATTTAATATATATGTTATCAATTAAAGATAAAATGTTCAAAAGAAATTTTTTCTCCTCTTTCATGGAGTAACAGAATAACAGTAGAGCCTCGAAAACTCGGCCTAATGTGGACCGAAGGGTGGCAGAGTTTGTGAAAATGTCAGGTTATCGGGAATGGGGTTAAAAAAATAAGTATGAGTGTTTCCTCAGAAAATACTGTACTGTACTTGTATGTATTGTTTACTTGAGAATACAACAGAGAATAAACTGCCCAAATACCCTTAAACAAAGGAAAAGTATGTCTTTTATGAAGGCATAGAGCCTTTACTACATGAAAATGAAAATTAATGAATACACTGTGTAGTAATTTACCTGATAAGACAGACCTCAGAAAAATACTTTATGAGGCATAAAGCTGTCTTTATCATGAAAATTAATTAACTAAAGATTTTTTTGCCCTGCCAGGGTAGGCCGAGTTATCCGGAGTGCCGAGTTTTCAAGGCTCTACTGTATTGAAAATTTATAATAAGCGGCATCTTGTGGAAGTACAGTTCATTGACAAATTGATTTTTTTACTGAGTATTTCAAGAATCATAGATATTCCAAACATGAATATAACAATGAATCATCTAAATTTATCCAAATTCATTAAAACATCTTAACAGAATTGTGTAAGAAACCAGATATGAACTGAAAACACCTCATTACTCTAATTGTGCTAACAGTAATTTGCTAGCAATTAGAGTATTTTCAATGTTTAAATTATATTTGTCTGTGTATCTTGCTGTTTTTCGATGGCAAGTAACTGAAAACTGTTAGGTATATTAAATACTTGGATTGGATGTCACACCAACAGTTGTGTTAATTCAATTAGAAACTTCAGACTAGGAGGCATTAAAGAGAATTAAAGGAATATTTTAATCTTGCAAGCATTTTTAATGTAAATATATACGTTGTCCTCAGGCAACTCAAAATCAAAAAATTCTCTTTAATGCTTCCTAGTCTGTAGTTTCTAATTGAATTAAAACTGAAAACTGATCTGCAATTAACAGCCAGATAACTATGACAGTAAAAACATCAACCTTCTATTCTGAAAGATATGCATTATAATTAAGTTAGAACTTCAAACTTATATATATGTTATGATTTGGATACATTAGTAATGAGGAACAGAGGCACAAGTTGCCTCTGCTGTGGATCTGACTGAATCCATAATAGGCACAAAGACCCTCTCCTAGTAACAACACATTGAAGAGTTTAAAAAACTCAAATAGCATCTGAAAATATTTCAGACTTTGCATTATTCTCATTTTGATAGGATAAAGCAAACAGGTAGGTGCCTTCTAGGAGGACTTATATAAGAAACTAGTTTCCATTTAGGTGGTAGACATGCAAAGAGAACCTGAAAAACTCTATGTGGCCAATAGCTCATTGGTCAGACACAAACCGTAATCAATTACCACTATTTAGTTGATTTTACCCACTAGCCACTGTTAGAGTACATTATTCTTGGTTAAAAGAAGTTTTTCATCAACAATTTTTCATCTACGTAGTATGGGTGCTGTATAATACTGTTGTACACTCTGTCAGAAAAGTTCCAGGACAAAGCTCGTAAAAAAATAGAAGATTGCAATTACCAAGTAATGATTCTAACTCCTGTTAAAGTAGTCCCCTCAGCTATCTATACACAATTGCCAATGTTTCTGGAGGTCTTGGAAGCAAGCAGAGAAAGCTTCAAGTGTGATGCTTGTAACTCATTTGTCACAACCCATTGGATATCTGCAATATATTGACAAAACATCCCTTTCGGTTGCAACCCTTTGTCAGAAAAGTGTTTTATTTATTTATTTTTTTTTTCTGAAGGTGAAAAAGCAACTGAAAGGGATGGGACATTTTATCAAGATATTGCAAGCATCCAACGGGCTGTGACAAATGAGCTAACAAGCATCACACTTGAAGCTTTCTCTGCTTGTTTCCAAGACCTCCAGAAACATTGGCAATTGTGTATAGATAGCTGAGGGAACTACTTTTACTTTGACAGGAGTTAGAATCATTACTTGGTAATTGAAATCTTTTATTTTTTACATGCTTTGTCCTGGAACTTTTCTGACAAAGGATGTATTAAAGTTTTTTTCATTTTCTAATTAAATTAATTTGACTTCTTATAAACTTATGATTGATATATAAATAAATATCTACATAAACTAATTCAGTTTTATAATACAAGTTAATCAACAATAAATTATTTAAACAGTTACTCTAATCTAGGGACGGTGAACCATTTTGAATCCACATACTACCTAGTGAGCAAAATTATCTACCTCTTTTCACTCACTGTTTCATCCCATATTTCCATACACAGTGATTACTTTTTTGGCTTTGACATGTCATATGTTTAGCGAGAAAAATGCTTAGAAATTGTTTTAAACACCTCCAATCATTCACTGTTGCTGGTATGTTTATTTCACTATTTTTCCAATAGATAGCATTATGTTACAGAAATTATTTAGCCATTTTTGGCAGGAAAATTTAATTTTGTTTTGGAATCTGAAAATGCCTATGTAACTTGTTTTTCATAGTTTTTCTTTCAAAACAAATAAAATTATTTTACTCTTATAAAGAAAAAGTGTGTGTAGGAGCTAACTTTTTGCATATTTTTCATCAAAATTACGTATTAAATATTAATGATAAAAAAAATATCAGTCTTTTTTCTTTCAGAAAAAATGAGAGACTGAGAAGGGATTAAAAATGTTTGTGTGCACTTAAGTTTTAGGACTTGTAATAATGATACTTAATTAATTTGCTTTAACTAAGATAAATGTTAACAAACTGACTGAAAAAAGGGTGATCAAGTTAATGTATTATATGATTCTGGTTTGTTATGTACTACACGATTTCTCTTGATGTGTCACTTTGGGCACGTGTACCATAGGTTTGCCACCCTTGCTGTAGTATAGATACAATATTTACTAAGTTTGTTTCTGAAATTCACTTTCAAAGTCACTGAATGTAAGAATCTCAAGAAGTAACGTCTACTACCTCTAGGAATTGCTGTAAATAAAAATGGCAACTCTTCAACAAAGAAGTTAGTGTTCTGCAGTTAGTAAAGTCAGAATCACTCCTCATTGTGCAACAAAAATAATCTGCAGGAGCTGTAAAATTATAGCTGCTTTAGGAGAAGAGATTATAGCAAGCATAGGAAGAATCAAGTATTGGTTGGATGTGTGCTGTGCCGTGAGGTGCACACACTGAGAAATTGTAATGGTGCAAATGTGAAACTTGGACAGTTTTACAATCTTTTAATATACATTAAAACATTCTTAAATAAATATTAGGGGCAGTCAAATGAAAACGAGACAGACATAACAAGTGTGGCACGGAAGTTGGTAATGCAGGTAGGTGTGTATAGTGCCCTCTATTGGGAATCAGGAAGGAACAGCGTGAATGTTCACCGCTGTGCCATTTGTCTGTTAGACGTGCTCAAAGTGAGGTCAGCGAGTTGTGTGTTCATCCACCATCACTATGGAGGTCTGCTGCTTGTTGACTTTTGGAACACGGTGCCACAATTAACGCACAGCGATACATAGAAACTCTGCAAAAATTGAAGCGTGCCATCAAATCCAAACACCCAGGAATGTTGATAGACAGCATCATTCTGTTGCAGGATAATGCCCATCCACATGTTACCAAGATTGTTTTGACTACGGTATAGAAGTTTCGCTGGAAACTTCTGCAGCGTAGTCCATACAGTCCCAATTTCTTCCCATGCGATTTCCATATTTTTGGAGCCCCAAAGAAAGACATTCATGGCTGTCAATTTGCTTCGGACAAAAAGGTGCATGCTTGGATACAATTATGGTTCCGTAGGCAACCGCAAACATTTTTCTATGAAAACATTTACCGTCTTGTCTCAGTGGGATAAATGTATTAACAATTATCGCATTTACTTTTGAAATAATAAACAGTTTACTTACTTTTTCCCATCTGTCTCGTTTTCATTTGACTACACCTAATAATTAACATGATTACAATAATTTAAAATGGTACAATTTGTTTTGAAAGACCATGTCTTTGGAGATACTTAAGCCAATTTGTTTTGCCAACATTTCTGAACTTGTTCCTCCACAATGAAAGATTGACAACTTACTGTGTGAATTACAGAATACTAATACAAAGCTTGGACCCAAAACTAAACTATAAAATTGATTATTAAAAAAAAACGTTTTCTGTAGTATGTTTCATTTATCAATTGGAATATTTTACAGAATGACATTCAAATTTAACACATCACAAAATGAATTTAGTTATTAAAAAGAAATCTTTAAAATTAGAATAAAATATTGAATTTCCTACCTACACTCATCTTTGGTACTTCATTTTATTCTGAAGCAAAATAATCGAGATTAAAAGATAACAAATTAGCTTTTAATATTTATAGCAAATTTTACCTGAGGAAAGCATGTGCTTCCATGCTTCTGTTTTGATTACTGGAACATACTACAGCTATTTTGAGGTCCGGCATGTTTGGACTTTTTGGAGTGGCTCGATTTCACAATTTTCTACGACTTCAGTATAAATGTTTTGGTATTAACATGGCTGAAAAATAATTGGAAGTTTTTTAAAACACATTACGTTATATGCATTAATAATACTCATTTTCAGCAATTCATTAGATGGTGGAGTAAAAACCTATAAATGTAAAGTAAATGGCATTAAATGCTAATGCTAGATTAACTTTTGAGCTAGAATTTGGCTAATCTATCACAAAAGTCTGGCATTATCATTTTACTATTAGAATAAAGTCAACAGTATTGCATAACTTCATGTAATTAAAATCAGCTACACGTAAACAGCATTGATTCTGTCAACATTAACTCAAGTTTTCCATCATATATAATAAATAATACTTAATACATATAAGTGATGAGTTCATTCAAATGAATCATTAAAATCTGTAAAATTCTTTCATATGAACTATAGCAACTAAAGATGCATAATACTAAAGTTTTGTTTTAAATCACTTCTTTTTTGAGAGATTGTCCTTTATTTTAAGATTAAAAAGTATCAAAAAGAAACAAGTGAATGAATTGAATGATTTTGATAATCAAATGATCAGTTATTTTTTATTAAAATAAACCCATCATTATATTATATGAAGAAAATTTCAAAACAAGAACTATAGTTAAAACACTGTAAGACTGGAATATATTACTGTATATCATTAAAAACAGAACACCTCTGAACCTTAAAAGTACAATTCCAGAATAGTTTAATGCAGATAAAACACAAATGTTTTCAATCTACATAGGAGATCTTCAGGTTAAAGCATTCTCAAATGGAATGCAGAAAATTTTCTGCATTCCATTTGAGAATGCATTTCTTGATATACAACAAAGAAAAAAAAACATAGTACACCTAATTGTCTGTTTATGCATAATCCTCTTTCAAATAAACATTCAGAAATGATTCTAACAAGAAAAACTTTCCAACCCATACATGAAATAGGCCTCTATGGATATTTTGAAGACCTTCAAAAATGATTTAAAATTTTAAAGTGAAAAAATCCAAGACTATTTCTCAAAATAATGCTAAAAATGAACTGTTACCACTTTACTGGAGATGGCCATGAGATCATAAAACACAACAAATGCCATTACACAGACTACTTCCCGGAGGCAATCAGAATCACGCTGCCCATTCTGTTAAGCTTATCATGTGTTTTACAAGCAATTGGAGACTATACTTTGCAAAGGGTTACATGTAGACTAGGGGTGTTCAACCTTTTTATTTCTCTGAGCCACATTGGAAGAAGTCATGAAGTTCTGGGCCACAAGTATATTTAAGGATTTACATGTCTAGATTATAGTAATAAGTATTAAAACTTTATCACAAAAAAGATATTTTAAAAAAATACTTCTACAGACATTTAATTTCTACTTAGAAATAGATAAATTTATTTATTATAAAGGAGACAAACAAAAATTTATTTGAAAAACACAAATATTTCTTTTATTTGGGTCTTTAATAAAAAAAACAATGAAACAACATTTTAAAGTGCATTTTTATTCAACTAATATATTTATAAATAATATGTAGCTCAAAATGTAGCCAGTGCGCCAAATGATATTTTTTTACACTAAACTAAAAAAAAAGGGTAGCCAAATCTTGCAACGCCAAAAGGAATATTAAATAAACCTAGAGTTGGGATTCAAAGGATTATAGACCCAAATTTGGGGAAAGGAGAGAAAGGTCAAAAAATAAAGAAGTGAGAAAGGTTAAATAAACCTTCTGTTATGCAAATATTGATCCTTAATTTTCCAATCTTTCCCATTTCTTTTTATCTTTTGGCCTTTCTCTCTTTTCCCTAAATTTGGGACTATAATCCTTCGAGTCATGACTCCAGCTTTATTTAGTATTCCTTCCTCATTCACACATTTCAAGTATTTGAAAATATTTTCTTTCTATTAAAAAATAAAATATGTATAAAGGTTTATGGCTTTGTGAAACTTATTTTTTGAGGTTTATGCTGTTAAAATAAATAAATAAAAAACTTGCTGGTTTTGTTTACACGTTTATTGGGCTGCATTGGAACTTGTCTTGGGCCTCATGCGGCCCACGGGCTGGACACCCCTGATGTAGACCATCGGTTTGTTTGATTTTTTTTACTCCTACGGGCATGGTCTACAGCTCTGATAAGGTCCCAACTAACTCATTAATAGCTGCACTTGTGCCAAATATTGGACAAAATACTGGCACTTGAAATGAACAGATAATACTGTGGAAAATTATACAGAAAAGTGCATATAATCTAACAGCCATCAAATTAAACAAACTTTATGAATATTAAATATCTTTTACAAAGGTAATGTTTCCATTACAATAACTGTGGCAAAACTCTCCAAATTGGCAAAATAACAACCACTTAAACAAAATTTCAGAAAACAAAAACAATTTAATTTCTATTCTCACTTCCTCAGCCGTATCTTTACAAATATAAACAAAACACCATACTCTTGCTGAGCTTATTATTACTTTAATTTCTTATTAGAAATTAAAGTAATAATAAGCTCAGCAAGAGTATGGTGTTTTAATTTAATTTCTTCTAAACTGATTTCAATCATGTATACTATACCAATAAAAAAGAAATCAACAGCATTAACTACAGTAACTGGGAAGATAGCATGCATTACTCAAGTATGAATATATGCCATTATTTTTTAAGACAATTTTTGACATTTCGAGGAGCTAGATACAAAAATGAATCTCATTTTCATTCTTCTCAAAAACAAATATATGCAATAGCTCTTGAAACATCATCTAGTTTGTGCACGGAAATGTGTATGGGTTGGAAGGTTTCACAATATTTTATGCATTGTGATGGTCATTACAGAAAAAGAAACTTTATATTGAGATTTAATCATTTCTCTTTCATGCTCCATGGAAACAGAATGTACTTAACATGCAAATCTCATTTCTGTTCAACTAAGCATAAATATTTGTTTCTGTTGTTTGACTTCCAGACATTTGACTTCTGTACAAATTTTTTGCAATACATCATATCAAGAATTAGGGACTGCCTGTATTCACCACATTTCCTAAATTATTCACATTTCCTAAGGGAGTCATAATACTATATGTATTTGTTAATGAGATCTTATCTTCACTTCATTCTAACCTCTTTCTGCAGCAATTATCATTCAACGTAAAAACAATTTTTTAAAAATATATAATTAAATCAACTTTTAGACAGAAACTGCAATATGATTTTATACAGAAGATTTTCAATTGTATATTCCTTGTGCCAACATTCTTTTGCATTTAAAAGTGCACGGTCTCCACTATATGCATTTACACCATCTTTAACAGCAGCACGCCTTGTCTACTGAATGAATTTGTCATTAGTACCAGTCAAATCTATTTGTAAACTATCTGTAGATGTTGCCAGCTATGATAATTTATTTTCAATACTGAAATCTGATGCATGTACTGGATATAACCTACATATCAGAATATTCCCAATATTAGAATCAGTTTGTTTTACATAATGATGTTCCAACCTTATTCTTTCAATAGTAGGAAGAAAACAATTAAAAAAGAGAGAGAGATCAGACCATCAATTTGTAAAATAAACAAATTTATTTGGAACATTCAACATGTTAATAATATTGGTATCAGTATTTATCAATCAGTATCGGTTACAGCTCTAGTTTTCAATTATCATTTTCACAGTTTTGCACAAGGTATATGAATTGATAATATACATTTCCATGTCTCCCAAAAAACTCCTGTCCTCACATGAATTTCTTAAAAAGTAATAAGTGGATGCATACTGATTAACCATATCAATGTTGCCCATGGAAGTTGTATAACTGAGAACTACATTACATTTTCTGATTATATCTATACCATCTTTTAAAATTTTCCTGCTATATGTCATTCCTATAAGATCCCAAGTACTCAGCTGAGTTACAACCCTTTTTCCAAGCTAAGAATGAAGGGAATAATGGTGTATTCCTTATCAGTGTGCCTATATCCTTCTATGGCAGGAATTTAAATATAAATGCAATGAAATTCTGATGCTTAATCTGTAACAACTTTTCCTGAGGTGATATTATCATAATATGGAATATTATAATATACGTATACTGTATCTAAATCTACCAACACACAAATTCTTATTCCCATCTTGTAGGTTTAATAAGAGTTGTATGTGATGAAATTTTCTCTTTCAAATCAATTAAATTCATTTATGCAGATTTTTTTTTCTGAGTATAAAATGTTCTAAAAATTTCAAATTGATATATTCCAAAAAATTACTGGCTTGTTGGGTTTATCAGTTCTGGTATCTTGGGGAGGTGTTTTTAAATGTAGCATCCAAAATATTTGGTTAAATTTCCCCCTTGTAATTATGATTGAAAAGAAAAGAATTTTAATAATGTATTCAAGACTAGTATTCTTACATGTTCATCACTGGCATTATATCCATATTAAGCACTACTATGATAAAAGCCTAGAATTAATCTCATTCAACATCAGGTACATCAAACCGAGTTCTTAGTTTTCTTATATCCGAGTACAGTTTTTGTATAATTGTTTTTCAGGATTTCATCAACCAGTTGTTCTATGAAAAATAATAAAAATGTGTTTTACAACGCTCAAGGAAATTTATGGTCTTAAGACATCTGCACTACTGTAAGATTTATTCTTTGTGCCATATCCTCATTTTCTGTTTTATGAAATTCATCATATTCTTCTATGGATATTTGTTAGTACATTTCTTATTATTATTAATTTCTTATCAGTACTTCATTATTGTTAGTATCTTTTTTAATAACTCATTTTCTATTTCCTTTTCACTATTTCTCTTACTAGCATAGTTACTTTCATTGTCCTCCAATAACACTTAAAATGTCTATACACATAGGATAATTCTAAATTACTGGGGCTTCTGTATCCTATAATTTTTCAACAAGAAACAAAACAAAACTGCTTGCACAATATAAAAGCATAACTCAAACGTTGTGTGTGTAGAATCAATACAGCAGAAAGCTAAACAACTCCAACATGCACTGCTTTCTGGCAAACAAAATTTCCAAGCAATTGTCAATTTTCTTCCAAGTGTAACTTTATTACAGAAACAATTCTGAGCTTCAGTACACTGCAGGAAGTCACAGAGGTGTGAAGAATTGTTTACATGACATCTCCACAAGAAGAAATCAAGTAGCATATTATCTGATTCAAGTACAAAAGGCAACAGAATTGATCTATAATGGCCAACCCAGCACCAGGAAAATGTATGTCAAGAAATTCTTGGATAACAAGAGTTCAATATTAAGGTGAACCTCTTGCTGAACACCACATTTGGGTAATGCTATCAACAGGGATAAGTTTGAGTGTATGTCAATGAACAAATTAGATAAATATTGTACATGCATATAAAATATTTTAATATTGTTTATTTAGTAAATACAATCATTTAAAAGTTCCTGAAAATATTTTCTTTATCATTTTCAAAACTTTCCAAATATAAAAACTATTATATTGTGGAATGCCTGATTCAGAGTATTTTCTGTTATTTATGCATGCTTTTTGATTATTGAGCAGTAGTTTTTCCTCTTGGCTTTATTGGGTTATATATATAAGGTGATCAATGAAAAAAATTCTTAAAAGTGACCAATACTTCTTAAACAATTTGGAACAGAGGACTATTTCAATTACAGTCAAACCCCATTTATACATTTCTTAATTGTACATGTTTTGCAATTACATGTTAAATATTTCTCCTCTAAAATACTTTATTATAAAACACTTTAAAATGGAAAGATTGAAAACAATTATTAAAAAAAAGAAAATAAAACCAAATTTTGTATAATTTCAAATTAAACAACACTGACAGCAAATTATCAGAAGATGCAAAAAGCAAAGTGAATAATACATAACCACTTTACATGTTATGCTCTTTCTGACTCAACAAATTTTCCCATTTAGCAAATCACTCCATCAGTTCAACACATTGAAAGTCTTTGCTTTCTGTTTTTCTCATTTGTTCATTCACTATTCACTGTCAATGTGAACTAATCTTTAGAATGACTCTTCATTCTTACATGTTACTGGAGTTTCAGCAGAAGGAAACAACTATTTTTTCAATGAACTTGTCATATTCTTGTGCATTATATGACAAATTCATAAAAAAAACTTAATCAATTTTTTAAAAAATACATGATTTAATTTCACGCTGTTTTACTTTTCCATTTATACATTGTTCAAATGTATAATATAGTACAAATAGTATATTCAAACTTTTGTTAAGAATTACTTGCATGAATTTAGTTTTACTGTCTTGTGTCATACTTTTGTGACAACTATATTCACTCTGAAAGCAATTCAAAAATAATTTCACTTGTATGTTTTCCTCACTTATGTAATACTTTTCCAATTGCCTTGAAAAATATATGGCATTCAGAGAGATACAAAACACACACAAAATAACATAACACAAAGAAAAATATCTGTCAATAAGTAGAAAAAAATTAATGTGAAAATTCAACAAATTTGAATTAGATGTTACACATGCTTGTATTATCTAATCTGAAAGACCTTTCTTTAAATTACCAAATGGTGACCTAAAAACATTATTTAACTGGATGTTCAAATTTTCTTGATGCCACTTTACCAATAAAATCATTTTTATAAGTTGGTTTTAATATTAATATTCAAACATTTTCAACCTAGTTACTATTGTAACTTCAATAAAAGAAAATCATACAAGTATTTCATGAGAAAGATTTTTAAGATTGAAATTTAGTCGAATAAGATTAGTGAAACATTAATGTTTTCAACTTAGTTAATTTAACAGGTCATCTCCATGCATGAACTGACATGTCTGTTAACAGGAATGAAAATATTGGCATTTCTCCAATTTTACCCATTTTTAAAGGTACATTGCTTACTTCAAAAAATTGTTAAAAACAACAATAAAAAATTAAAATCAAGGAAGCAAAAAGGGATTTAAATTATGTCTCCTCAAGGTCTAGATCTAAATAATTTATTTAGGAGTATTGAGATGAAGAAAATTTCTCATCTTTGTGTAGTCAAACCTGAAAATGACTATCAGACTATTTTAGCAACTTATGTTAACATGGAAGGAAATGAGCAGAGCAAGGATTCCACTTTTCCAAAATAAGGACAATGATGATAATTTTTTTCACAGGAAGGTCATAACTAAGGGCAGTTCCCCAGTTTAATGCATAAGCAAAAAATTTTCCAAGGAATGTCTTTTGACACTTCCCAATAAGGCTCTCTTCATAAGCTGCTCTATATTGTTGAGAAACAACAGATAATATACATTAAATAACACTAGCAGTTAATATTAGCTACAACACTATTTTTCCTATCCATGTTGCTGTTACGAAGAACATTTATCACTTAATAAGGATGGAAAGACACTGCAACTGAAGTAAAGATTGTCCTTACCAAATAAGGATGGGTGATATAAAGTATGGACTGGCCAGAGTAAAAGCCAGTCCATACTTTATGAGAACAAAAAAAGGAGGAGGAAATGACACTTAAGTAGCAACACTTTGTGCATTACCTGTGACATATATCTGTTCTCTTTTGATTATATAGAAAAGTAGAATTTTTCACTTTGTTGGTACCCTACAGTTCTTTGCATCCTTCAACATAGAGACTGATAAAATTGGATAGAACTAGAGCAGAATTATGTTCAATAAATTATAATTATATCCTTTATATATTTTATATTACTAAAATCTAAATAGATATTATCTTGAAAATTCACTTTAGGAAATTCTTTTATGAGATTATAACATTCGCCACTCATTTTCCAAAATAATTAATCACACATACTCTCATTTTTAAAAACTTTTCCAAGCAAAATATGTTTCAAAGCTTCATTTTAAACTGATATACTGAATATACATGCATATTCTCCTTTGTTCTTTTGAAGTATAAACCTTTATGAGAAGAGAACTTTTCTGTTCTCATCAAGTATGAACCAACTTTAACAGAGAAAATTTGTACAAATGCAGCTCTAAACGAGGCAATTGGGATGTTATCAAAACTGAAGACTATTCCCATAGGAGTAACAAAGTCAAAGAAATTAATGGCCCACATCTTCATTTCTCAACCGGTGGTCAGCAGTTTATCATGGTGTGGGAGTTTTAGGAATCCACAACACAAACATTGAGAAATGATGGTCTACATGTCACCCTTTACGAGATAGTGATTACAATACACTTTAATGAAGTATGCAGTGCAATTCCATCTCATTCTACAAGTAGTCAGTGCAATGGCATTTCTTATACTTTATGAGATTTTAGCTTTTTTTTAGTAAAGTGTAAAACGATAGATTTTCAGCACCGTTCTGAGAAATAGCTCAGATCTTTTCACTTTTACCCCATTTTTGAGTGTCTTTGAAATTCCAAAAAGGCCAATTTCAGGAAGTCTATATCTTGTGACACAGATCGCCATTCCTTTGACTTTTTTTTATTCCTACGGTCAGGATTCAGAACTCCAATCAAGTTGGTACAATTACACCTCTGAATAAGATGGTTGAGAGCTGCAGACAATACCCATGGAGCAAAAAAGTCAAAGAAACTAGACCTCTACATGTAAGATACGCCCTCCAAAATTGGCCTACTTCCAGGATGTGTGCGCTTGGGAATCATGCCACACTCCGTCAAAACTTTCGTGTTTAACTATTTAGCTCGCACAACTATACTGGCTTTGAGTAGCCTACTCGAAGCCGGCATAGTCGCGCAGCATAGAGAATAGGCAGTACAAGAGGGATGGCAAATCCCTCATTCAGAGTTCACATATTACCGTAAGGTCCCAATGCACCATTCAGAGCTAGAATTGACGTCTCACCAGGAATTTATAGTCACTTTCTTTGTATTATTGTCGTACTGACGTTTATCCTGCGTCATAATCTTTAATACATTATTTTAAGGATAAAGAATATCGCACACAATACGTATTTACGTGTCACTACGAGTTTTAATCCATTGACTTACTTCACCAAAAGAAGTATTAAAAACCCTTTTATTAACTAAACAAAATTAGAAAATTATATAACAGTTTAATTTAAATAAATAATTTTTTAATAATTATATTCTTGTTAAGTTCATACGTAATTAAATAAATGAAAGTAAAAGTAATTAAAATAAAATTACCGGTTTTCGCCGATATTTCGTTAGCTTAAAGGCTCCATTTCTGTGTAAATTAATCAAAAAAACGTTTAATTTTCAATATTTTTATAAAGAATTTCAAAAATTTTACAATTAATTTCGACTGTTTATTAGTCCTAAACAGGAGTCAATGTTAAGAGAAATTCATTCAACTGAACTCCCTCTAGCGTACAAAAATTGCTAATCGCCTCTTTATCATTATCGGTGATTATCGTCTGTCAAAAAATAAAAATAAATGTA